GTTTATTGTGTGTGGCTATTGTTCGGGACGAACAATACTAAAGAGGGGGCAGTGTTGCATCAGCGAGATCACGTGACTAGTGTCACACCACCTATTTTCTAGAAATATCTTGTTCCTTCGTGAATGCCCTAATTTACTAGATATATGTTTGTCTGGTATATATATAAGACTCTTACAACGTGACGTAAATTTGTGTAGGTAGTGAGTAATTGAACTGCAGTCAGAAAGTATTGTTGAAGTTAACGTTCATTGTTAAAACGTTTGTTATAGAGCGACTGTTGAAAATAAGTGTGTCGGTAAAGTTATATTCAGAAAGAATCAACCAGTTTTATTAAGTAAGGACTTGTGTCGCTAAAGTTTTGTCGGAACGAAGTTATGGAAAATCAATTAACGACTGGAGGCGTAACAATATTATACCTGAGAAACCCTTATCTGTTGGTTAACAGTCTTTAATCTTCATATATAATACCTGAGAAACCCATATCTGTTGGTTAACACTCCTTAATCTTTATATTAAAAACCCGAGACACCCTTATCTTTTGGTTAACAGTCCCTAATATTTATTTATAATACCTGAGAAACCCTTATCGTTTGGTTAACAGTCTTTAATCTTCATATATAATACCTGAGAAACCCTTATCTGTTGGTTAACAGTCCTTGATTTTTATATATAGTACCTCAGAAACCTTAATTTCTTGCTTAACAGTCCTTAATCTTTATATATAATACCTGAGAAACCCTTATCTTTTGGTTAACAGTCATTAATCTTTATATATATTACCTGAGAAACCCTTATCTGTTGGTTAACAGTCCTTAACCTTTATATGTAGTACCTCAGAAACCTTTATCTTTTGGCTAACAGTCCTTAATCTTTATATATATTACCTGAGAAACCCTTATCTTTTGGTTAACTGTCCTTAACCTTTATATGTAGTACCTCAGAAACCTTTATCTTTTGGCTAACAGTCCTTAATCTTTATATATAATACCTGAGAAACCCTTATCTGTTGGTTAACAGTCCTTAAGTTGTATATATAGTACCTCAGAAACCTTAATTTGTGTCTTAACAGTCCTTAATCTTTATATATAATACCTGAGAAACCCTTATCTTTTGGTTAACAGTCCTTAATCTTTATATATTATACCTGAGAAACCCTTATCTGTTGGTTAACAGTCCTTAACCTTTATATATAGTACCTCAGAAACCCTAATTTGTTGCTTAACAATCTTTAGTCTTTATATATAATACCTGAGAAACCCTTATCATTTGGTTAACAGTCCTTAATCTTTATGTGTAATAACTGAGAAACCTTTGTCTTTTGGCTAACAGTCCTTAATCTTTATATATAATACCTGAGAAACCTTTATCTTTTGGCTAACAGTCCTTAATCTTTATATATAATACCTGAGAAACCCTTATCTGTTGGTTAACAGTCCTTAATCTTTATAGTACCTCAGAAACCCTAATTTGTTGCTTAACAGTCCTTAATCTTTATATATAAAACCTGAGAAACCCTTATATTTTGGTTAACAGTCCTTAATCTTTATATATTATACCTGAGAAACCCTTATCTGTTGGTTAACAGTCCTTAATTGTTATATATAATACCCGAAAAACCCTTATCTGTTGGTTAACAGTCCTTAACCTTTATATAAATTACCTGAGTAACCCAAGCAGTCATTAGTTGGGTGAACTACAGTATTGATGATTTTTTTTTTTGTTACTCTTTCTCTTGGCATCCTTTAACCAACAAAGTAATGGATCTCCAAGCAATTTGGTGCACAAATAGTTTAGTAGAATATTTTTAAAAATTCAGGGTGTTATGGACCCCATTGATAATTTTAGTTACTAGTTATATCTGTATTTTCTATGGTCTGATCATGAGGTTGTTAAAATAACTCCAGTAGTAGTTTTAGTATTCCAGTAAAAGTAAGAATATTTTGGTTTTGGGTAACTTTTTATTTCTTTCACTTGGTTTCTAATAAGACTTACAAATGTTATTTTTTATCCAGAAATCAAGATATTGGTAACGAAATAAAACTGACTAATGATTCTGGAGGAAGTTATAGGGATCGAACAAAATTTGTAGATCAAGGTGGGACTTTATGAATTGATAATAGCATTTTTTATGAACCCAAAATATTGTAAAATAGTTATTACATAATATTTTGTGTCTATTACTAAAACAGTCAATTCTCATAATAAGATACAATTGAAGTTTAACTAGTGAAATAGATAAAATAATGACCTTTCACTCCAGTTTAGCATTAACATTTTAAAAATAATAATTAGTTTTGTTTACTGAAAATTATTTTAAAATATTAACATCTCATTTTCTTTTACAGCTCTCCGTCCAACTACTGGTGTAATTGAAAGTCCAAAACGAATTATTAAACCATTTTATAGGTGATGATTTATGACCTGGTTATCAACAAACCTGGAGACATTCTGAAGTCCCTTCTGTTAATTTTATTTGTTGGAAACTTACAATCTGTAAAGAAAACTTTATCCTCTTGTTATTTTATATTCATCATTAAGGTGCTTTTTGCACTAATGCAAAATATTTGTGAAATATCAACACATTTTGTAGGAAGATTTTATCTTTCTGTGCATCTAGTTAGGCATGTGGCTTCAGTATTTTGAAGAAGTAACCCATTAATAGTGACTCCAGAAATTATAAAAATTCAGTGTAACAATCCTTTTCACCTCACTTTGAAATTATCTTCATCACTGATTTCACATCTGTCTTACCACAAATAGAGTAGGTGTATTGGTGTGTTATATGTTTGTAGGTGGTAAAAATTATACTGAATTTGAAGTTTTCTTGGACTGTATATGCCTGGAGTGTAGGAATGGATGATGTTTTGATCTCTGCACTGAGGCCTTCATTTAATTTCTAAATAAACTGAGACGTTGGTCAGAAGTATATAAACTAACAGCAGCATTTTCAGTGATACATAATAACTAATTAAAAGTCAGTTACAAGCCATAATGAAACTATTAGAAGATGATTAAATAACAAAGGAGTTACTATAACAATGAGGACTTAGAAAACTTGGTATTTTAATTTACAATCACTGCATTTGTTCATATCATGTTTCAACAATAAACACAGTATTTGTAAGTAAAATACATCATCAGGTTTATCACCCATCACCATTGCATTACAGAAGGTGATATCAATAGCTTAAACGGAACTAAGTGTCAATGGACGAAACGTGTTATTACTTAGATTCTCAATAACAGCAGTTCTTTTAATAGAAAACTTATTAATAATCTTTCAATTTCTAAAGGTATTTTTTTACTTAGTAAAAATAGAGCAGATCAGAGCTGATGAAGGTGAAGTACAATAACACTTATGATTCTGTGTTAGTGGTTTGGGTGTCTTTCATGTATGTAATAATGTTGAAAATTTATTTTTACAGCGTTACAACACACAGCATCTCAAACCGTTTGAGGTCTGTAATAATGTTGAAAACTTATTTTTACAGCATTAGAAAACACAGCATCTCAAACCATTTGAGGTCTGTAATAATGTTGAAAACAATATTTCATTAGACAATATCCCAAGAGTTGGCAATGGCTAATGTTAACTAGCTACCTTCCTTCTAGTCTGTCACTTCAAAGCTAGGGATGGCTAGCACAGATAGCCTTCGTGTAGCTTTGCACCAAATCCATCAAAGAGTAATAGTGATTATTTTATGTCATTTAGAGACAGAATATCATTCACTCAAGGGAAGTGCAGCTCATAAAAATGGAAGATTTAATACAATCAACCCATCTTCTCAAACAACTAGTAAGTGTTTGTTTAGAGCAACAAATATGAAATAAAAAGAAGCTAAAGTTATAAACAAAGTGAGATATTAACATAACATTAACTGTAATGAAATAAAAGGAAGCTAAAGTTATAAAGAAAGCGAGATATTAACATAACGTTAACTGTAATGAAATAAAGGGAAGCTAAACTTATAAACAAAGTGAGATATTAACATAACGTTAACTGTAATGAAATAAAGGGAAGCTAAAGTTATAAACAAAGTGAGATATTAACATAACATTAACTGTAATGAAATAAAGGGAAGCTAAACTTATAAACAAAGTGAGATATTAACATAACGTTAACTGTAATGAAATAAAGGGAAGCTAAACTTATAAACAAAGTGAGATATTAACATAACGTTAACTGTAATGAAATAAAGGGAAGCTAAACTTATAAACAAAGTGAGATATTAACATAACGTTAACTGTAATGAAATAAAGGAAGCTAAATTATAAACAAAGTGAGATATTAACATAACATTAACTGTAATGAAATATGAGGAAAAATGTTAAACCATCTGAAATTTTAAATGGTTGTGATTTTTTTATGTATTAGTTTTTCTTAATTTCTTGAAAGTAGTAATATCAAAAGTTGTGACTTTTATTTCTAATTCATAAATGACTATATTAGCAACATTAAAAAATTACACACCAAAAGTATGAATTTTATTACTTAGTGTAACATTTGTGATGTAAAAAATATGTTAATGTTTTGTAATATTTTAAACTTTTTAGTGTAACATTTGTGATGTAAAAAATATGTTAATGTTTTGTAATATTTTAAACTTTTTAAAGGAGGAGAAGTAAGCTTATAAGGCAAGCTTATAAGAAACAGTAATAATACACCACCATAGTAATACGTATATGATTAAAGAATTAGCAAAAATGCGAAAACCAGAATAGCGACAACAGGCCAAGCTTGTCTTTCTCAATGAACATCCGTTCAAGTTGACAAGTCTGATCTATTGAAACTATATGAGTGTTTTGTTTAGTTTCTTAATCCTTTAATCATTTGTGTGTTAGTACTGTTTTTTTTTTATATTTTAACTTCTTTAAAAACTCCTTGATATTCATCGTTGCTATCATTATATCAGGGATGAAAATAGTATATGTATATATGAGGGGTTTTATTTTGTACAACCTACAAAGTTTTTTATATAAGTTTCCTAACTTTCATGTAGCTGTTATGATAAGCATTTTTTTCCCTTGTTTATCACCTGAAAAAAGTAAAAAATGCAAAAACTGGCTTTCAGAAATTACTGCTTCTAAACAAATATGGAATAGTGAGTAATATATATCACTGTTCTGGATATTAGCATGGAATGGTGAGTAATATATGTCACTGTTTTGGATATTAGCATGTAATGGTGAGTAATATATATATCACTGTTCTGGATATTAGCATGAAATAGTGAGTAATATTTACAGATAGTTAAAAAATTGTGCCTTTTTTATTCTGCGACAAATGAATTAATAACAGCTGGAGAAGAGAAGATAATGAAAACACTGGATAATGAATTAAGAACAGCTGGAGAGGGGAAGATAATGGGAACACTGGATAATGAATTGAGAACTGTTGGAGAGGGGAAGATAATGGGAACACTGGATAATGAATTGAAACAGCTGGAGAGGGGAAGATAATGGGAACACTGGATAATGAATTGATAACAGCTGGAGAAGGGAAGATAATGGGAACACTGGATAATGAATTGATAACAGCTGGAGAGGGGAAGATAATGGGAACACTGGATAATGAATTAAGAACAGCTGCAGAAGGGAAGATAATGGGAACACTGGATAAAGAATTAAGAACATCTGGAGAGGGAAAGATAATGGTAACACTGGATAATGAATTAGGAACAGCTAGAGAAGGGAAGATAATGGGAACACTGGATAATGAATTAAGAACAGCTGGAGAAAGTGAGATAATGGGAACACTGGATAATGAATTAAGAACAGTTAATTTTGTGTTGCCTTTAGATCTATTTATAACAACACTTTAGCAGACTGTGGACTGTTTATTCTATTGTAACTTAAGTGATTATATCCAGTGCTTGAAGTGAGGGAATAGAGAAAGGGGATGGTTTGTGAAATATTTTAATCTGAATACTATATTTCTTATGTATTCTTTATTAATTATTATAAAACTAACTGTGATGTACAAATTCTAAACATGTTAGGTTAGATTAGATAAGATAATAAACATAATTATAATTCTTCATGCATCATGTAATTCAGTACGATAATATGAGCTGCACATTTTCAGTGATTTACATTGTGCATGATGGGATTATATTAGTTAGACAAGGGCCAAATGGCAATAAAACAATACAATTAAGTATAAACAGATGTATACTGTTACCAGTTATAGTATGAAAATTCTGATGGTTACTTTGTGGTTATGAACTTGTCACACTGAAGAAGGATCATTCACTCCTCCCTGTTCTACTTTATTTCATTCCTGCCTTGCTTTTACATGAAAAAATATAGCCTCTCCCCAGCTTCTTGCTGCTGTAAATATTTATTGCATCATCTATTGAACCTTTCCCTTCTGAGAAACTTACAATCTACTAAATAGTAGAAGGATGGCATCTTGCCCCTCTTGAATCACTGGTTATATTTTTTTAAGAGAATCTATGTAGGATATGTTTAAAATTAGATAATACAATACTTTGTTCTGACACTTTGAAAAAGTTTAATAGAGTACTAAGTAATGTTCTGACACATAATATAAATATACTGTTTCCAACAGAAACTTCTGAGGCCATTTATTAGCCAGGATATCAGAGTCTACTGTGAATAAGTTTATTATTGCTAAAACAAAAATTCCTAACATATATTAATTAATAAAGTTGAGGATATTGAAACAATCAATAATAGAAAATTGTATCTAAAATGTGATATTACAAGCATATTATATGCTTAGCTTTATGATAGTGTGACATTCTTGTCATCCCCAATAAATAGTTACAGAAAAGTTAGTCCTTCGTAGTGTAAACATTTTGTGAAAAATGTTTCTTTTAAAAAATTTGCTTTCGTTTTTGTATATTCTGTAGATGATTTTTAAAATTTTAAGTATAAATGATATTCTAATTATGTTAGTCTTTAATTTCTCAGGAATACAGGTGTTTCCTTGCAAGTTTATTCAAAAAATTATAGTTCTTGCTATAATGCTCTTATTTTACCTGAGACAAGCTAACTGCAACTTAAAAAAACAACTCTGTAATGAAGTGTCTTTATAGGTCAGAAAAATGTCTGAAGAGCTTCTGCTTTTCTATTAAAAACTATATGAGGTTATTGTTATACTTGTGTGCAATCAGATATATTGGTTTAAAATCTAGTAATTAAGGTGAAAACATTCCAGTGCCTTCACTACATATTTCAGGCTAAATGATGAAACATGGGTAATTGTACAGAAAAAAAAAGATAAAATTATTCTATTCAAACCACATTTTTTTCATATCGAGGTCACATCTATAGATGTTAAGCATCATCCTTTTAGATATTGTTAACACCTTGTTGTTATTAAACTTAGGCACAATAAAAACATTTATTGAAGTTCACTATAAATTATGCTTGAGTAACACCTTACTGTTATTGAACTTAAGCACAATATAAACATTTATTAAAGTTGACTATAAATTATTGTTGAGTTAACACCTTGTTGTTATTGGACTTAGGCACAATAAAAACAATTATTGAAGTTCACTATAAATTGTGCTTGAGTTAACACATTATTGTTATTGAACTTAAGCACAATAAAAACATTTATTGAAATTCTGTTATGTCTCTGTTCGTTTGTTAATTACTCCTAAAAATTCTTTCCCAAGAACTTCAGTGATACAAGTCCTTTCTCAAATAAAACTAGTTTATTCTTTCTCAATTCAACTTTGCAATGCACTTAATTTCCACAGTCAACTTAACTTTAACACATGCTATAATTTACAATGAAAGATTCACGCACTTTACTTACTAACGCGCTTGACTCAATTGTCCGTCTATATCTTCAACCTCTCTGTCTGCTTTACCATTTCGATTAATTGTCTGGTAGCAAATACTGGATTATTCGTGATGTTCCCCAATCTTTCTAGAACGTATTACCTGTTACCAGAGTCACGTGACTTCCGCTGTCGTAACACTGACCCTTTTTTAGTATTGTTCATCCCGAACAATAGCCACTTAAATTGAACCAATAGATAATTAACAATAACTTAATTAAATGTACAGAATTTACAAATACAAAATAAAAATTCAACAAAGTCTCTTAATTTTATGGGACATATCTCCTTCGGTACTGGTCTCTGTCTCGTTGGCTTCTGCTTCACGTAAAGTTCATCTGCTACATCAGGAAATGCCCTATTATCGGTAATACTCACATCAGTGGTAGTAGCTTCATCAAGGGCTTTACTGTTTCCCTTCTCAAAACCAAGCAGAATTTCTTCTTCGACAATGGCTTTTCCAGGTGACACGTCTTCAGTGGCGTCTTTTGTTCCATTGTTCACTTTGTCCCAACTGAAATGTCCTGGACCGTAATAATACCAAAGCCTGTTGACATGCACCACCTTTGACTTACCACGCCTACCACATTTTATTTGGAAACTCACGACTGAGAGACGATCTACTATGTCATATGGGCCTTCCCATGAAGATGACAACTTAGGAGACTTTCCTTTGGTTTTCCTGGGATTATACAACAAAATCTTGTCTCCTGGTACAAAGCTGACTTCAGTAGACTTCTTATCATAACATAGCTTCATCGAATCAGCAGACGTTTTCAAGTTTGAATGCACTTTATGGTGAATAATATCCATCCTTTCCGATAACACTTTCACGAACTCTGACACATTTTCAGGTAACTCTTCATAAGGTGTGCATCCTGTTAACAGATCCACTGACAACCGAAGTTCCCAACCAAACATTAACTTTGCTGGAGTGTATCCAGTGGCTTCATGCTCTGCTGTTCTATAGGCCGTCAACAGTGGAGGGAGTAAGACATCCCAGTCATCTTGGCAGCTATTACAAAACTTTGCAAATTCCTGTCCCAGTGTCCAGTTGTACTTTTCTACCATCCCATCAGACTGTGGGTGAAGTGGCGCTGTTCTGGTCTTTCGTGTGCCAACTTGCAGCATTCATGGAACACAGCTGATTCAAAGTTACGGCCTTGATCTGCATGCAGTTCGTATGGCATACCAAATCTGAAGAAGAAATCACTAATAGCAGAAGCTACAGTTGTAGCTTCCTGATTTGGTATTGCATATGCCTCAGGCCACTTGGTGAAATAATCCATCACCACACAAATGTACCTGTTTCCAGCACGAGTTTGGGGCAAAGGACCAGCAATGTCAACTACCACTCTTTCCTTTGGTGCACCAACTTGATATAACTTCATTGGAACACGTCCTTTATGCTTGGGTCCCCTTTTAGCACAACATCTA